GGGGGGGAAAAAAAAAAAAAAAAAAAAATGCACCCCACTCCAAGGGTTAAGCCATCTGTTTAGGGCTAAACAGGTCCTAAACACAGAATACTTTTAACTGATGTTACTGTTGTTTCCTGTTTTTGTGGTGGTGGTCGTTTTTTTTTGCTTTCCTTTGTGAGGTACACCCTTTTTTGGGATATATGCAATTTATGCATGTTTTACTTTCACAGGAAGAGGTACTGCAACATTTGATGGGACAGCAATAGCAAGTGCAGTTGTTAAAGAACTTGCTGAGAATATAAAGTGTCGTACATTGTTTTCTACCCACTACCATTCATTAGTTGAAGATTATTCTCAAAATGTTGCAGTGCGTTTAGGACACATGGTATGTGCAGATTGCTTATTCAGAAGTTTTGAGAGAATCAGATTGGATACTTCCATTGCCAGCATATGAATATATTTCTCATTTTTAGGCATGTATGGTAGAAAATGAATGTGAAGATCCCAGTCAAGAGACTATTACCTTCCTTTATAAATTCATTAAGGGAGCTTGTCCTAAAAGCTATGGCTTTAATGCAGCAAGGCTTGCCAATCTTCCAGAGGAGGTTATTCAGAAGGGACACAGAAAAGCAAGAGAATTTGAGAAGATGACTCATTCACTACGATTATTTCGGTAATTATAATCGGGTATAATTTTGCCATGCAGCTGACCTTATTAAAACAGTAAAGAGGGATGGATGATGCACTGTGAAAAATGAACTAAAACTTTTTTTTTTTTAAATTTTAAGGGAAGTTTGCCTGGCTAGTGAAAGGTCGAATATAGATGCTGAAGCTGTCCATAAGTTGCTGACTTTGATTGAGGAATTATAGACATCAGAAGCTTTGAGTTAACTTTTTTGACAAAGGTGGTAAATTCAGACAACATTATGATCTAATAAACTTTATTTTTTAAAAATGACCATTTTTCCATTTTCTTTCTAGGAAATTAAACCCTTTTAATTCTTACCTACCTTCTACATAATGGTTATTGAATACTTCACAATATATTAAGTCTAGATGTTATGGTACATGCATACACTTTCAGGCTGTTTATACCCACTGTCACCAATACACATAAATGGGGAGGGAAGCTATGAAACTGTATAGGGCGTATATATACTTGTCTCAGCTTAATGCAGGAAATTGTCTTAATTTCCAGCAGTTTGTCTAAACTGTTCAAAAAAAAACTATGAACAGAGTTCAAATACAGGACTGTTTTGAAGAGACTTTCTAAAGTGTACTTTAAAACATAGTAGTTTTTACCTTTCACAAAACTGAGTTACAAGAATACTTTTGTTTTACAGTGCATCCCTTCCTAGGAAGTCTCATTAAAACACTCACTTTTCTAGGGGTGATTCTGAATGCTGCACAGGGAAGGGAAGGAAATAATAGTCTTAACTTTTCTTAAAGGATACCAGAAACATTGCTGGATATAATTTAAGATTAGTGTTTTCTCTTTCATAGAAAGAACGTACATACTGGGACATGAGTACAGTTACAGCAAGTCTAGGTGTGCTAACAAAACAGGGCACATTCAAGTACAATAAGATTTTGCTTGAAATTAAAAAACAAACTACATGAGATTAAAGCATTAAAATCATATTTCTCAATCTGAATACATGTTTAAAAAAATCAAAAAGAAACGCAGAAGTGCTAGCTCACATTTTTTACCATATTACAAAAAGCAATTGGTACCCATGTCCATAACGGCAGCAACAAAGCTGCTTGTCTATTGAAGAGTACTACTGCAAATTGGACTGCATTCAATGCTAGTTGTAAAAACACCAGCTTTTTTTCAGAAGTTGGTATCTGTACAAAATTGCAGCTTATTTTCTTCACTTCTGTCCCTTCAAAAGTCTTTACACAGTAATGCTAAAACACCCAGCTTTGAGATCCTGAGTCAATATATTGCCACTTTCTTTTTGGTAGCTTGAGCTTCATAGTGTCAACTGACCTCGTGTATCCATTTTTAATACAGTCTCTTCCTGTAGCATGGGCAAGTATTAAATCTTCTTCCAAAAATGTTTTAAGTTATGATGTTAGAATGGCAGAACCTTTTCTTTAGGGAAGGAATTCAGTTGTGCTGCAATGTATTAGATTCTATAGGTGGAGCAGAGTCATATAGTGTATCTGTATCATGTGTAGGCTCACCGGCTAATGTACAAGGATTAGACAGTGTTCCAGCACCACAGTCACAGAAAAACCTAAAGCAAAATGAAAACCCAAAAATTAGAGAGGGGGTGATAATTGGGTAACAGAACAGGCAAGTAGGAAGGGGGTTAGGGCATAAATGTGTAATAGAGCAGGCAAATATGCTACATACCTATCATGTCTAATAAATTCTACATCATGTCCCTGATGGCACTTCTTAATGCAGTTCACACATATGGCATTTCGATCTGTGGTGTTACAAGTGTGACATCTAGGAAGTAAAAACTTACATTATTTTTCTTAAACATGCTATTCAAAATAACTGCATTTTGTTTGTATTACCCTACAAGGTTTGGCTTACAAAAGAAGATCAAAACCAAAATTTTTGGCTCTAGCCCGCAGTTCTGTAAAGACTAAAATGGAGTAAGTGGATTGCCTGCTCTATCTTCTGAGGAAAACAATTTGTAAGTTGCAGAAAGGCAGCTGAAACTTCTACCAAGCACTACTGAAACAATTCTGGGGAGAGGAGTCAACACCCACTTAGTGACTTGTACTTTTCCCCATATTTGTGGTCCCAACACAGGACCCTCAAATGGACTGATCACAGAACTCAATGTGGACAATAAGCTGTATTGTCTTAACCCTGCCAAATACCCAATTTAATTTGCCTTTACTCACACATGTAAGGGGGGAAAAAAATCTAAAAATGCTGGCTCTTGCCAGTATAGGGGGGAAAAACACCATCTTCCCCATTTTCTGGACTCAAATAATTTAGAAATATACCTGTAGAAATCATGCATGGGATAGCTGGTATAACTTGATATTTTATATAAACACTGGCCTCTACTAACAGCCTTTTCTATGGCATCTTGATTGTTCATTATTTTGTTATCTGTAATAAAAAGAGAACAAAATTCTAGAGGTCAGAGACTTAAGATAAAAATATAGACTATAGGATTATTTTAATAAAGTCAAAAGACGTTAACGAATGAAGTCAAGCTAACAATAGAAACAGATTTTCCTTGTGCAAGATATTCCAACTAGAACAAGCCAAACCAAAACTTTTTCCTTTGAAAATAGTTCTCTTGAGTTGTTAACTTTAGTGATCGAAAGAATCAAGTTATCGAACAGTGGCTTTTGATTAACTTTTCATGACATATTTCATGTATTTATAAGCAGAATGTAGACTCCAACATACCTTTCATTGTTACGTTAACACCAGATGCTAAAAATAAGCCTCCAAACCGGTTGTTAAAAATCTGATTGCCTTCTAGTGTCGCAGTTGCGTGATTTGTAATTTCAATACCTGAAGTAAAAATTTAAATAGCAGATGCATCACTTTATATAGTTTCTTTAAAGAAACCCAAAATCAAATATAAACTTAACTAGGGGGTAAAATGCAAATGTTTATTTGAATCACTGAAAGTAACATTCACTTTCTACTGTTAACAATCAACTATATAGCCCTGCTGGCTTGGCTCAGTGGTTGAGCGTCGACCCATGAACCAGGAGATCACAGTTTGACTTCTGTCAGGGCACGTGCCCAAGCTGTGGGCTTGATCCCCAGTAGGGGGCGTGCAGGAGGCAGCCAATCAATGACACTCATCACTGATGTTTCAATCTCTCACTTTCCCTCTCTCTGAAATCAATAAAAACATACTTAAAAAATAAAATCAACTATAATGGCACAATATAAAATGGTTCATAACTTACTACTACTACTAATCATGACATTTTAAAATTTCTTTGCAAACTAAGAAGAGGATAGTGCCTAGAAATATGCAGCTGGTTTATATACTAAAGAGAAAAGGAGCTTTGATGGTTATTTGGAATATTAAAAATAACTGCACTAGCAAAAAGTTGAAATATACATGCATGATACTTGGATTTCACTTACCAAGATTTAAAAAATGTGTAAGGCTAGAAAACTTGACTTTATCTGTATTCCTAATGGTAGTGGTACAAAGCCTGCATTTATTCTATACCAATTAATGTTTCATAATTACTACTGAGCAGCAAGAGCAATATTTCTTTTTAAGTTTTTCTTAGATGGAAGAATCCAGAACTTGGAATAGATACTCTCGTTAACAGACAGGCATTCAGCCACTTTTGTAGCATACTTTGCACACCTTTAGTTATTAAGCAGAGGAGAGTATACTAAAAACCAACCATTTTAATGTATAGAAAACAAGTTATAGGTAACAAAAGACAATACAAACCTGCAGCAAATCCATCAAATATTCTGTTTTTCCTTAAGACTGGATGACTATTAGTGCTGATGAGGACACCTGCTTGAGCATTCCTGAAAATATCATTTTCTTCAAGGAGACCTATAATAAAATATTTCCTCAGATTAAGGCTAATGCATATAACCAATTTTACTAGTCTTTTTGGTGGTCTTCAGGTTTCTTTTTAAAGAAAGTTCTTAGTAATTCAGTATTTAAGGTAGGGTTTCGCCAAAAATTGCAAAATATTGTAGGTAACCATTCTAACCAATAAATTTCAAGTTCCATGGTTGCAGGGACCATGTCTAGTTTACTCACCATTAAATCCCCTGTGCCTGGCACATAGTTGACTCTCACTGAACACTGCTGAATTAAAATTAATTCCTTTGAAATATTTTTAGAACCTTTGTACCCTCAAGTTTCAGTTCAAGTCCTGATTATTTCTGGCCATTATTACTATGGTTCCTTGATCAATTTCCTTTACTCCAGTCTCTGCTGCTACTGTATTTTTCCCAGGTTCCTACAACTCTTCCACCATGTCCCTTTCTCTGCTTAAAAAGCTTTCATACTAAAGTATTAAATTAACTTGCCGTTTAAAGCCTTTGAAAATATAACCCCCAAGCTACTTGTCTTACTACATTTACCTATGCTCTGAATATTTTTATCCTTAATGCCTCTGGTTTATATTATTTCCTTTTCTGTACTCTTTCTTCTTAATGTCACTTCCTCTGGAAGGTTTTTAGTTTCCTTCCACCAAGTTTATTATTAATTCTCTCTTCTGGCAGTTTAACAATTACTAAGGGTCAGCCAAGAAATCAGACTTCAGGCCTTCGAATACTGACTCCACCACTTACTAGCTCTGAGTGGGAAAATAACTTACCTTCTGTCTCAGTTTCCTTATTTTTAAAAAAGGTACAATATATCACCTACCACATATGGTTATTATGAAGATTAATACATGTAAAAGTACATAGCACTAAATAAGTATTAGCTAGTATTACTCCTATAAAATCTACTTATGTACAGTGAATTATAGTTAGTTGTGAACTAGTGTTTCTCTGTTCCCTAAAGATGTGAAACATGGTTTTATTTTTGTAGATACTTCACCCATCTGGTATTTTATAGTATTGACCTCAAAATTCCTTTTCCCCTGGAAAAGACTATTCCAGGTCCCTGCCTCTACTGTTGCACACATCCACTAACCTCAAGTGCTATTGCTAAGACCTAGTCCAAACTTCATATGGCATATTCAAAGCCTCATGATTTTGGGCCCTGCCCCCTCTCCAGCCTTAACTTCGAGTACCTCTTGTTGTACTAAATAAACCACTTTCAGTTTCATTTAGAGTTTTGTTTACAATGTGCCACTCTATTAGACTGTAAACCTTCTGGATGTAGTACTCTTTTATTCACCATTATATCTTTAGCATCAGTGGCTGGTACAGAGGTGTTCGATTAGGAATGACAAATGAAAGAGTGAAAGAATTGTGCTTTCTACACTTGGAATGGCCTGCTTCCCACATGCCCTCCCACCCCCATTTCCTGTGAATACTCATTTTTCAAGACACAGTTCAAGAATGAAACTACTCCATGCATCTTTTCTCAGCACCTTGCAAATAAGACAACCATTCTGTATTGTTTCCTCATTATATCTTGTAAACACTCCTATCACAGATATGTTACTTTATTGAATTATTAGACTATAAACTCCTGGATAATCTATGTCAATCATCATTGCTTGGTTGCAGCAGTAAATTTTGTTGATTAAGTCTTGGTATGTCAGAGTAATAACTATTCTTCCACATAAGGTAAGTACACAATGTTGGGTCACTGATGTTTCGGGAATGGTGGTACATTTGCATTAGACATTTTCTTCATGAACATGAATTTGCAAAGGGCAGGGACTGTGGAACTTTTGCCTCAATACAAAGTGAGCTGACCTTTATGGATACCAAACCCGGCACGCCTTAGCTTCATTAATTCCATTCTCCAACAAACATAGTTGTAAACAGGTACAAAGCAATACTTATTACAGACATTTTCACATATTTATAGACCAATTAATTTCTCACACCTAGTTCTATAACTTGACTTTGAAGTTTATTATAATTATATCACTCTTCTAAATAATAAAAAGTCCAGAGAGGCTGTGGAGAAATTCTGCTACCTTAAAAAAGCCTTACTAACAACTGGCACACTCAAGGTGGTTATAGAAAGAGAAGAAAAATTCTGTAAACATTTGTTTCCTGTAATTCTAGGCACTAATCTTCTAAACCATATCAAGACTTGATAAGGAAAAAATTGAGATTCACATCTCAACATGTTAATTGGCAATGTCATTGATTGTTAAAGATATGGAAGAAGAATAATGGAAAATTGGAGTTTTTACTAATGCAAAATTAACAACAATACCTCGACCCCCATTAAATATACAGATGCCACCATCTCTTCCATCATGGATTTTATTTCTTCTTAGTGTAGGGTTACTATCTGTCTTAATCCAGACTCCAGCCATTGCATTGTCAAATATTTCATTGTCTTCTATACAGCCTAGACCTATAAATGCAAAAATTCAGGTTATATTATTTAGAAAGAATATTCCTAAAGACTATCAGCACCGAGAAAAAGATGAAAGATTACACATACCAGAATTATACACTAGAATCCCTCCATTCTGTCCTCCCCAGATTTTGTTGCGCCTAATTTTGGGGTTGCTTCCAGTCCTATGGATAGAATAGAAAACAATGCCAGTTTAATTGCTTCTACTCCCTTAACCCATGTTAGATGAGGTAACACTGGAAAAACACACATTAATCATAGTAGGAATTAACTATACAATGGAGTCCTTCAAAATGCTCTGAAAGTCTGTCAATAAAAAAACTGATTTAATTTAGCTTAATTCTATTTCCCACAGAACACACTTAGCTATACTTTATATTATTACTATAGAGTTTTTTTTTAAATTTTAACTTATCTTTATTGTTGAAAGTATTACAGATATCTCCCTTTTCCCCCCAAGGATCTACTCCACCTAGCATCTGTGTCCCTCCCCCCCTGCCCTGAAGGCCTTCACCACACTATTGTCTGTGTCCATGGATTATGCATATATGCATATAAGTTCTTTCACTAATCTACTACAGAGTTTCTTAACATATAAACTCTTCAGACAGGGTAAGATTAATTATTAGTATGTACTCCCCATGTAAAAGGGTTGAATTATATGATTAGGACTACTATAGTTCCAAAAACTGTTAAAATACAGGAAAGGGATGTGAAAAACTATTAATTTTACAGAAATAGCATAAAATCAAAAGCTCCCATTTATAGGTGCCTACAACATGCCAGGCATAGCTCACAAGTATTTTTATATACCCTTCTACTATCCAAGTAGGATGGAGTACACTGAATGCTGTCCTCAGCTAGTCCAAGAAAAGTTCTAGTCTGACAATTTAAGCCAAGAGTACGACAGTGTGAATATACACACAAAGGAATAGAGGCTAAGCACTGAATAACAAGAAAATTTCTCTACATACCCCACGTAGTCCCCATTCCTGCCCCAAAGAAAGCCAAATGTGAAAACAATTACCTTATCTGAACCCCTGAATACATATGATTATAGATATCATTGTCCTCTAGCACTCCATGTCCATTGTCGTAAAAATAAACACCAACCTAAAATTAAAAAAAATTATTTTCAAATGACAAATGTTTACAAAACAATTATTTCCCATAAAGGAGTCCAAGAAAATCTTACCTGCTTGCCACTGTGTATCCTGTTTCTTCTCAGTACTGGAGTGCTGCCAGTTGTCACCCAGACCCCAGCCAGAGTATTACTATAAACTTCATTCTCTTCTATTACACCTTGTCCTTTCTCATGCTAAATAAAAGATACACTGATTACAGTATCTATCTTTTACCAGCAAAACATAGTTTATAGTGTATTCCCCTTTAAAGACAATTTTAACAAAAATTTTTTAAATTCTTGTTCTTTATCTAGATGAGGCAATGATAACATTAAAAAAAAATATTGATTTCAGAGAGGATGGGGGGGAGGAGAGAGAGAAACATCAATGATGAGAGAGTTGTCATTGATCGGCTGCCTCCTGCACGCCCCCGACCAGGGATCGAGCCCGAAACCCAGGCACGTGCCCTGACAATGATAACATTTTTATGTAGCCTCTAAGTTTAGGCCCCCAAAGTTTTTACACTGTTCCTTATGTGGTTTTGAACTTTTAAATCTACTACAGTAAAAGTAATAGCATATAATTTTTTTTTAGCAAAACAATTTATTTCATTCTAAGATATATAGCAAACTGAAGATCTCTCATTTAATAAGTTAATAGTTATTTCAAACCTATCACTGGTAAGGTCACTTCAAACTGGTAAGGTCTTAGGTTGCTAAAATTTTTATTTTTAGCAGAAGATTTAACACATGAGTATTTCTAGAACTGTAAATAAAAATTAGACTCACAAAGACTTTCACAAAGATCTTTAAAAAACTAGGATCTTATTATTTTCTTACTTGAATCAGTTTTAACAGTTTCATACACTATGGTGACAGAAGACATTCACAGGGTTTTAAAATTTTGGAAGATGCCAAATTATGTTTCAACATAAATTCAAGTGAAAACTGGCTTTTTCAGAAGATAAAAATATTCAAGTCTAGTGTTATTAGTATTTTCAGTGATACCGTGATGCTTTCGGAAAACTTCAGAGATTAATACAGTAGTTATACTGGCAAAATTCCAGTGCAAGAAATATAACTTAGACTGACAGTCAGTTGTTGCTATGAGTTTAGCCCATATTGCCAAGTATAATTAATAACTTTAATATCTAGGTATATCTCCTATGCCTAAACTTAGTCAGTTAACTGAGTTTTATAGAACACTACAGACACTACACAATTAAGAGTCATTTATATATACTGGCAGGGAGAATAAAAGTCTTATTCATTGTCTAAATATTAAAGTCACAGATTCATATTCTATTGTGTCCCCTCCCCTTTTCTCCACTGGTTTTGATGCATGAGATTCTAGAATTGTATTCATTAACTTACCACATAAATCCCACCATGCTGGCCATCATGAATTTTGTTATGTCGAACAATTGGACAACTGTTTGTCCTAATCTGAATTCCTGCTAATGCATTTCCTATTTAAAAGTAAAAGTTACAATGTCAACATATAACGCCTAGTGAAACATAGTAAGCTTTGCATTATGCAGTTAAAATTCTTACTAGAATTTTAGGAACAGCACAATTCTGTGAAATATGCAATACTCGGAAAGGTATTTTATGGCCCGGCCCATGAGTATTACAAGACAAAACTAGGGGAACTAAGTGTAAAAAGATGCAAAGGATTGTAGGCAGTAAAGGTATAGTGGTTAAGGGAAAAGACTATTAGGCAAGATGCATAGTTTTAAATTCCAGGAATTCTATCTACTTCATGTGTGACTTTGAATAAGTGATTTCACTTCTCCGTGCCTTTGTTCCTTGTTCACTAAATGGGGACATTTAATAGTATCTATTTCATAGGGCTGATGTGAATATTATATGACTTAATTTGGATAAGGTACTCAGAATAGTACCTGGAGCTGAGTAAGCTCTATGTATTATCAGGTGTTAGCAAAGGGGAGTCCAGGAACATTAGCACATAGACATCCAGTGGTTTGCTGAATAAATACCTCAAAAGTTGTTTTTTTTTTTAATCCTCACCCAAGGATATTTTTCCAATTCTTTTCGGAGAGAGTGGAAGGGGGAGTGCCAGGGGGGAGAGGGGAAGGGAGACACATGGATCGGTTGCCTCCCACATGACCGGGCACCGGGGACAGAGCCTGCACCTGAGGTACACCTGCAAGTAAGGTACATGCCCTTGGCCGGAATCAAACCAGGGAACCTTCAGTCTGTGAGCTGATGCTCTAACCACTGAGCAACTGGCTAGGGCAAGAGCTCAAAAGTTTTAATGAGGATTAAGTATTTTCCGATTCTAGTTAGTACCAAAGTACCAAATACCATAGCAATACTTTATTAATTATTAAACACTGGAATGAATTTAAGGAAACTGTAAATACTCCGTTGAAACTATTTATCTACCTTATTCATATTTTCATCCCTGGTACCTGGCATACTGCCAGGTAGAAAGTAGGTATTTAGTAAATGTTTATTAAGTGAATAAATATCACAGAATAATCTTTAATGAAAAATTAAAAAAAAACTGGATCACTTCTACTTGGATAGTGTCAAACTGGTCCATTTTATAGAACAAAACCACATGCTTACCATAAATGTCATTTCCTTCAATAAGGCCTCGTCCATCACCAAAGATGTAAACTCCCCCTTGATTTCCATTAAATATAGAATTTCCCCTATAATTACATGAAATAATAAAAATAAGCATCTATTCAGCAAAGCTTACTTGTTTTATACAAATTATAAGGCCACTCATGGTCAAGTGACCTTAGAAAATTATTTAACTTCTATAATCCTCAGTTTCCTAATCCATCAAATGAGGGACTCAGACTAGACGATTTTTAAATTCCCTTCTAGTTCTAAGACCTAAAGCTCTGGAAAAGCTATCTAATATCTGAGACAAAATAGCATTCTTAAAAACTCCCCTCAAAACAGCTAACACATTCAAAATAACTTTTATAAAGCTGATCTAGACACATTTGCTGAATATTAACAAGATAGAAACCCCATACTCTCATAAAACCAGTGGAAAATAAAATGACAAAAATACATCATGGTTTTTAATTAAATTATAATAGTTCAATAGTCTTAACCAATGCCTTTAAAGCCTGGATCTATTTGTTTCGTTCCTGTGACTAGAGCGAGTAGTAGAAACTATTAAAAAAAAGTGACTGCTTGAAGTTTTGACTTTTTGTTATTCTTGGTCTCTCTGTTCAAAATCTTTGAGATAATTAGTTTCCTGAGTTACTCTATTGGCTGACTCTCAGGGGGAAAAAAAAAAAGAAAGAGCCCTGACCAGCAGAGTGGCTCGGTTGGTTGGGCGTCATCCCATGTATCAGGAGGTTGCCTATTTGATTCCCTGTCAAGGGCACATACCCGGGGTTGCTGGCTCAATTCCTGGTAGGGGGCACTGTGCTCTCACATTGATGCTTCTTTCCACCCCCCTCACCCCTGCTTCCTCTCTATCTAAAAATCAATAAACTATTCTTTAAAAAAAAAAAGAGAAAGAGAGAGAGAGAGAGACAGGTCATTGTAGTTCCAAGAGAAGGTCACAGTCCTTTTTACTCGTCTACAGTGCATTTTGATGAATTTAAAGTTAAAATCAGAGCATTCAGAATTGTTCATAAAGTAATACTGTGAATGGCTTAGATCACTAATAAAAAAATGAACAGAACACACTAAAAAATAAATGCAATAGCTATGCGCATTCAGATGCACAGACTTTTACTGGGAAAAGCTACTTTATAGTAGTGAGGTGTCTAGGAAAAACATTAAGAGTTAAAGCTAAGTATCTTGACTTTTCTTATAACATAAAACAAAGTAAAAAAGTAATTGCCATTCATAATATATATAAATACCTTATTGTTGGGTCACTATTTGAGGTAATCCATACACCTGCAAAGTTGTTTGCATAGATTTTATTCTCTATGAACTGTCCTCTTCCTTTTTCATGGACATATATTCCTCCGGTCTGTCCATGATGAATTTCACATCGAACCACTGTGGGGTTAGCATAGGCTTTTACTTCAAAGCCTGCTATTCTGTTTCTGTGTATGTTGCAACTTTCAAAGTAACCCTGAAAAAAACACAGATTTTAAACCTGTAGGTAAGGCTAGTTTCCAAAAGAGAAACATTAAAAAAAAAACCCCACAGACTTTTAAATGTACACTTCAAAATTACAGAGATGTTCAAGAGTAAGAATAAAACCTAGACAGATACACACCAAATTTCAAATGATAAACATGGAAGAAAATGTTTTCATTTTTGTACAATAGAAATATTAATCCTCTAATTAGTCTGAATATATTCAATGCCAGGAAAAAGAAATAGGGATTTATTCAACAAATGCAAATAAATACCATTTCCCAATAAGTATGCATATCCTTCAACAAAAGATTTATAAATATTAAAGAAAATAAATCCTTGTAGCCTTAAAAATGTCCCAAGAAATCAACTTCTAGTAAGCTGACCTAAGGATAAGCTGACCTAAGGATACAATCAGAGCCCACAGAAAAAGACATACAAAATAATTTTCATACTAGCCTAATAATAGTAAACTGGCTAAATAAAATGTTTTTGAAGACTTATGCTCATGGTATATATACTATCATGTTAAAATGAAAAGAATAGTATGTACTTCAAGGTAGTATACATTACATATGATCTCAATTTTACTTAAAGAAAAACAACTTGAAGGATTAAACAAAAACATGAAGGTGTGATGTGGTATTATGGATGATTTTTGTATCCTTCATAACTTCTCTGAATTTCTTAAATTTTCTATAGTGGACATGTATTATTTATTATATAATGAGAATAAAAGTACTTTAATACTGATATCTTAAGTCCTAAGAATCAAGATTGAATATTAAGAGAAAAAAAATGAGATATTAACAAGGTGGTACTTCTAAAAACCACTTTATTCCCCTTGTCTATCTCTTCAAAAATTGAAATGTGCTCATGCTTGTTTTCGCAATACGCATACTAAAGTTGGAACTATACGGACGGACATTAGCATGGCTACTGCACAAGGATTATACATAAAAAATTTGTTAAGTGTTCCATATTTTGTGTAGTGCCCCAATGTCCTCACACCCTTTGATTAGCTTGGAAGAAACAATAGGAGTTAAAGCACAACGTGTGGCACTCAACAGCAAAATTGCGACTTTTCGCTACGCACACGTATATGCATGTGTGAGAGCGCGCGCGCACACACACACACAACATGCTCTCCCCTTATTAAATTCCCTTTAGCACTAAGTATTTTCTTATGCTACTTCCATGTACTGATCTGTACTATTTCTATATTTCTCATATGCATTTGTACCTGATCGTAAGCTTTTGGAGAGAAAGGAATATCCAACTATACAAAACTTTATACACAGCAAGCACTCAAGTAAGGTTTGACAAACTTTTTGCCATAGAAATCTAGAAGAGTTTAAAATAGGATGTAATTCTGAATATTCTAGTATACTACATATTTAACTCTTTTAAAAACATGGATCTTTAAGCATAACATTCAGAAGTAGTTTTCAGGTTTCACTTTCCAGAGATAAAAGTGTAAATTATCTATAATTTACCACTTTACATTTGGATTACAATCTTTTTTTTTTTTTAAGTTGGGGGTTACATAAAAAACAGCTTCTTTAAATATAAAAGTTTTTTCTTTTTTGATTTTATACCAAATAATGTACATTGGGTGAACATACAGGCCATTATTGCAAAACTGAGCATCAAAGAAACAAAAACAAATTTAAAAAGAGGCTAAGCTAAAAGAATTTAATGTTCTATTGAAACAAACTTTTTTCTGATGTTTTTATCATTGAGAAGGGAGCTCAATTAGTCTCAAGTTTCTCTCTGCCTCGAGTTAAATGACTTATCTGACTGGTACACCTGGGAAAGAATAAACCGGGTGTGCTTCAATTCAGCTTCACCCTTTTCCTTATGGAAGTGAGCTATCCTTAAGGTAAAATGTCTTCTGCTACTACTCACAAACACTGCCCATGATTAAGTGGGTAAGCCTATTTAATTTGGGGGTTCAGTTAAACAGACCCAATTTGGTTCTCATTTTAAGCTGTATCTTCTAACTTAACCTTTAAGAGTAATAAAGATATTATTTCACCCTCCTCATGCTACTTCATGGCTTTATTTCTTAATTTGTTCAGAATGTGGCAGGGAAAGGTGTGCTATTTATTGGGCTTCCATGAGGATTCCAATAGCAAGCCACTGTCATATACTGGCTATCCTCGTTAAACATACAGCAGTAGTACTGCAAGTACTTTGCTATATATTGACTAAAAATTATTTAAATACAGGAATGCTCTTCCTGTTTTTTTTAGGTTTTACTTTTGTACAATGAGAGCGTCAACTAGATCCACAAGTTTATTTAGGCAAATAGCAGACCACTCTCTACTTCATAATTTTGGCTAGATCAGTGTGCTATTTAGAACTGAGCCATAGTGTATAACTACATATTCTTTGCTGCACAACTTTTTTTTTTTTTTGATATATTTTTATTGATTTCAGAGAGAGAAAGGGAGAGGGAAAGAGAGCTAGAAACATCAATGATGACACAGTCATTGATAGGCTGCCTCTTGCACGCCCCCTGCTGGGTATCGAGCCTAAATCCCTGGCATGTGCCCCGACAAGGATTGAATGGAGATCTCCTGGATCACAAGTTGACATTCAACCGCTGAGCCACGCTGGCTGAGCGCTGCACAACTTTTTATTTTCCCTGAAGTTAGTAATTATTTTGTTATTCTCCTTTGCTTAGATCTCTAGTGATAATCTATCCTAAACTTGATATTGGTTGTTTAAATTACCTCTTAATATGTTTACATTCCCATTAGGTTTACTAATTTATCTTCCTAAATATAAGCAGGTTTTATAACCCCCTCTAATCTGGACTGGTTGCCCTGGTCATAGGAGGCACAAGGTCATTGACCATATTTAATTCAGATTATGGTTAAAAAATGTTCCCTACTCTATCAGTGATGGAGTTTGTAATCACTATCTTTTGTTTTATGGTAACTTTCAAGAAAAGAAAGCAGCAAAAATTTTTTTTTCTTCATGTCTTAAAACCAGAAGCCTCTACAATGCTACAACTGGTTTTATCACACTCAGAAAGAATCACTGACTGGCTTACAGTTTTATAATTTTACAAGAGAACCTATATCTCATTAGTATTCTGGGTTAAAGGGCTCAGTTAATGTAATTTTGTTTTAAAATATATATATATATTTTTTGATTAATCCTCATCTGAAGATATTTTTTCCATTTATCTTTTAGAGAGTGGAAGGGGGCGGAGAGGGACAGAGAGAGAGAAACATCGATGTGAGAGAGACACATCGATTGGTTGCCTCTCAAATGTGCCCCCACCGGGGCCAGGAATCAAGCTCGCAACCGAGGTACGTGCCCTTTATCAGAATTGAACCCGGAACCCTTCAGTCTGAGGGCTGGCGCTCTAACCACTGAGCAAAACCGGCCAGGGCTAAAATACATCTTAATGAAATGCATCTGTTTTGTTAAAAGATGCTGCCAGTGCAAAATGGTCTAATAATACAGAACTGAAGGTAGAATTTAGACAGAATTCTACTTTGCCTTTTAAATGCAAACCACAAAGGCTCCATCTTTTATACAAAACTCTAAAGGCACGAACATTTTACCCCATATTATAATGTGATTTAATGCCCTACCAGAAGATACCAGATTGCTAATAGCTTCTTCTATATTTAAAATAAAAGCTCATAAACTTATTGGCACAAACATTTCTAAATTTCTGCCATACACATTACTGCAAATTATCATTCTATCAAGTTAAAAACACTGATATAAAAATAAAAGGTAAGACTAAACACTTAAAATTTTTTGAAATGAAGTATTTTTTATTAAATATAAAGTAAAAGGCATTCAAGTGTTTCTCTTAAAACTCTCCAAACCCACCCCCAACAGAACAAAAAGTAGGGAGAAAAAATATGCCATCTTCATTGAAATAAACTTCTATAACTCCAAACTATAATCTATAAAGTTCCTGCCAAATACTGTGAAATGTGGATAAGGAAGAGCAAGGTGCTGGGAGCACAGATGTTACCTTAAACCTTCAGCAAGGTAGCTTCTCCTAAGTAACGGAGGTTCTAATAAGTCTACCCAATGATCCACTAGAGTGATGAGATCTAGTGGCATGAATAGAACACAGGAGAAGAGGAGACGGAGTAATATTTTCATAGAAATAACTCAGGCACAAGAAATAAATCTGAAGAAAACATACTATATTATGTGTAATTTCTGTCATATAAAGTTTCCTATCTAAGGAAGAATATCCAAAGTAAAGTTAGAGGAGAAGAAAGAGGTTGGCCAGATTTCAACACAGAGAATCTGTCATCCATCAATCTGTCATGAGTTAAATTAATAAATTTAGAACAAATGTTATCGAAAATTTTTTATCAATTTGGCATCGTTACGGCATTTTAATTTATTGAACAAAAATAACACTCTGCAATGGATTTAATATTAAACAAAGGTAATTAGGGAACTGTGAACATTATTTTTAGCAGAGAGATTGGCATTGTGGTTATGTGAAAGATAGAAGAAAGAACCCCCATTTTTTAAAGATACATGCTGAAATATTTACAGGTGGTATAATGTCAGGATTGCTTCAAAATAATCCAGAGAATAAAGAAGAGAGTAAGGAGTGAGCAAGAAGGTATAGATGAAACAAAGTTGGCCATGAATTGATAGTTGTTGAAGGTGGAGGTGGGTATATGGGGATTCACTGTACTATTCTCTCTAGTTTTGCGTACATTAGAAAGATTCCATAAAACAAAAATACATTTTAAAAATTAGAGATAAAAACCAATGGAAAACAAAACAGAAAAAGAGACAAAACTATGGAGACAGTCAAGAACACAGATTTGAAGAAGTCACATAAAACTTAAAGTACACAGCATATAATAGAGAAGACAGCCAAGTTTCTTAAGAGAGTAACCAAAGAATTTATATGCATATATGCACAACCCAAGGACATGGACAATGGTGGGGAGGTGAACTGGAGAAGGGGGTGGTGGGATGGGGTGGAATGGGTCATTGGGGAGATAAAGGGACATTTGTAATATATATACATATTTTAATATGTCTTTATTGATTTCAGAGAGAGGAAAGTTGAGGGAGAGAGATAGAAACATCAATGATGAGAGAGTCATTGATAGGCTGCCTCCTGCATGCCCCCGACTGGGGAACGAGCCCACAACCCAGGCATGTGCCCTGACCGAGAACTGAACTGTGATCGCCTGGATCCTAGGTCGACGCTCAACCGCTGAGCCACGCCCGGCCGGGCTGTAATATTTTAAATAAATAAAAAAAGGAACATACGGCCCGGCCGGGCATGACTCAGCGGTTGAGCATTGACCTAGGATCCAGGAGATCACAGTTCAATTCTCGGTCAGGGCGCATGCCTGGGTTGTGGGCTCGATCCCCAGTTGGGGATGTGCAGGAGGCAGCCGATCAATGACAACTTTCTCATCATTGATGTTTTTTTTTCTCTCTCTCTCTCTCTCCCCCCTCTCTCTTTCTCTCTCTGAAATCAAGAAAAACTTTTAAAAAGAAAAAAAAAGAATAAATGTTCTTACCATGCCATGATCAAATGTGAACACACCAACATCACGTCCATGATGAATATGATTCCGTCTAATAATTGGGTTTCCATGATTTTTAACCCAAATCCCAGCTAAAGCATTATTGGAAATTTCATTATCCTCATATATTCCCTACAACAAATAATCAGAAATAAACATTAGTAAAACTTGAAAAAATATTAAAAAAAAATAAAACCACAAAATTAAAAAAATACCTGTGCATGATCTGTTATATAAAGTCCAACATTTTCACAGTCGCTGATATTACAGTGCTTGATAGTGGGACATGCTCCTTGACCACTAACACATACTGCAGAGCCAACTGTAAAAAAAAAAATTTATTTAAAAATCTGCTGGGCAACAACAGACTCATTTTATAATAAAACATAAAGGAAACACTAACCTGTACATGTACTTCTGATGATACAGTGATCAATAATAGGACTACAATTTACTGTAATCTCTAAGCAGTGATGTGCATTGTGGTGTTGAGCAGATTTGTCATCAGGGTTAAACTGAAAAGTAGAAAATTTGTTAAATAAACAACCACTGCTTTAATGATTTCAACAAATTATTTTAAATCTTAAAATTTCTTACCCTTATTGTCATATATCCAACATAAGCATCCTCAGAACCTTCCATAAAAACAAAGGTTGAATCTCTAGTGTTTTCAATTATAACTTTGTCTGCTACTTTTCCAGGTGCTGTGGAGAAGATATTTAAAGCATATTACCTTTATCAGACAGATGAAATGGAAATTTAAAAATTACTTTTTAAAATACACTTTAAAAATACTTTGCTATAAAACTAGTAATACAGTAGAGAACTTTTTTCACTGTTCTGAAGTTGAGTAATTTTTGGAGGGAGAACTTTTAAAAGTTATTAATACTGAGTGGAGAGGACTAGTACTCATTTTATTGATAACTCTTTCACTGGCCTTTACTACAGGCAGTATATTGTCTGAGTATCATACAGAAATCCATGTATAATATACTTCTAGTAAGATTTAACTACAAATAGTATTTAATATCGAAAAAGGCCTCTTTATTTAAACATATTTCCAAAACTGGCCTTGATTTGTAAAGTAATAAAAATCACTAGGCAGAAATTTTCTACACTCTCCCCCACTTTTCTTTATGGTGGACATGGGGGAGGAAAGCAGAAGGGCAGTAAATGCAAATTTTATTAACAAGTAATAATAACTAGCCATCTTAAAATAGTCTATGCACTGTGTCCTTAAAAAATTAGAGATAGCATAAATCTTCAAATGACTGATCAGTGCTCAGTACTTTATTACATTTATTCTTAGAAACTTGAGCATAAAAACAGATTTTACATAGTGCAAAAATACTTAAGACTAACAAACATTTTTCTTTTCTTAATGAATAAATAACTAAGGCAGTTGGACAAAGCAGTGACTAAGAAATATATATAGCTTAAAAAACTGATACAGCTACAATTTCTGAACTCTGTTTTCATTTCTATCATATAAAATATGCATAATATTTAATTCTTAGTCTTTCCTACCATTAAGGTATTATCAAAGTTACCTAAATTTTAAGTCACTAGCATTTTATAAACCCACTATGTAAGTAAAACTGGTAAAATTCTAATAACAATGCATTTCAAAATACCTGCACCAATCATGGTAATTGGAGATTCAATATATATCCATTCATCAGTATATATTCCAGAATGAACAAAGATAAGTCCATCAAAATGAGCTTCTTGTACCCCACCAAGGGCATCTTCAATTGTATCATAATACTAGAAAAAAATAAAAGTGTCAATATAGAACTGAAAGATTACCATTTTAAGTCCTATAAAAACACAGATCAAACATACCAACATATTTTCTCTTCCTTTATATCTTGCAGGGTTACTGTAGAAATGTTCAGCAAATCCTGGCTTTACATGTGCACCTTTATACTTAATGTCAAAAAAAAAAAGAAGAAAAAATTACCTTCTAAATTAATTTAGTACTGCATGAATATTTTAAATTAAATATATAAAAAAAGACCAATTATTCCAACTAATTTTCTGTTGCATAGTGCAATGTAAAATCTGGAACAGCTTATGACTCACTAATATCCAGTAAGAAAGGACATGGTTTCTCATCTCAGCACTCTGATATTTTTGGACAGACAGTTCCTTTGTCATGGGGGCTGTCCTGTGTATTGTAGAATGCTTAGCAGCATTCTTGGTCTCTGCTCACTAGCTACCAGTAGCACTCTGTTCTCCAACTGTGACAACTAAAAATGTCTCCAGAAGTTGCCAAATGTCCCCTGTGGAGCACAATCACTCTAGTTGAGAACCATTTGTAAAGGACTATATGAAAATTAAGCTAAACATGAAACTTTAAAACAACTAATGAACACTAATAATTTAAACAAAAGTTTAAACAGACCCATAGAAAGTATAACTGCTCCCAGACTACTGATGTTTACTGTCACTGTTTAAATTAGTAACATCAATAGTGAAATTGTTGAATATTTTGTTGGCTGATAAATGTTCACTGCCTTGATACCTATTCTTGAGATTAATTTAAAAAAACCCAACTTAATTATTTTATTGTCAGGTTAAATGTCTTTGTCCAGTGATACATATTCCTTTGTAGTATCTATTACTTCATCAGAGTCATAACACCTGTCATTATGAGTGCGGCAAAATGCCTTTCTCAGTAAGTCATGGAACACCTGGAACATTTCCCCTTTTCACAAGGTTCATAAAATAGGTTTGTATGATAATATAAATACCTCCCTGCATGAGTTTAAATTTTTAAAAGAGGAAATTTTATCTACAAATATGTAATATACATAAACCAATATTTTTTCTATTTATACGTCATACCAACTGCTGGAAACTCTCTTTCCAAGGATTTGGATGTTCATATTCTTCTGGATTAATCTGGTAGAATTTGCCAGGTTCAGGATGCATCATAGGGCGGGTATATTCAAATACTTCCATATATAATCGTTTCCTGAAGGTGGGAAAGGAATTAAAGAGTTCTTCATAAAAAGTCTTTTAAATAATTACAAAAAATTATTTAGAGATAACCTATATTTTTAATAATTATTAAGTTTACTACATTTCCTTCGTCATTTTATCTACAGTTAGTTTCATTTGTTACAGTTTATAGAACATAAAAAACCAAAATTTTATATTCTGCTCTTTTCACTTTTTTCAATTTTTATTTATTGATTTTAGAGAGAGAAAAGGGGGAGGGGAGGAAAAAACAGAGAGAAAGAGAAAGAAACATCGATATACTGCTCCACCCATTAATGCATTCATTGCTTGTTTCTTGGATGTGCCCTGACTGGGGATTAAACCTGAAACCCTTGGCACATTGGACTAACACTAACCAACTGAACTACCTGGCCAGGGCTCTTTTCAACATAGCATTTTCTCATGCTATTAAAAACTGTGTAAGTCACTGTTTATGACTATACCCCAACCCTCCAAACAGACATTACATTGTCTTCACTTAGTCCATTTCATTAATAGACATAATTTTTAATTTCCCCCCACTATTAACTATGTATGCCATTACCATTATGAAAAATTTGTACATAAGGTATATTTTCAGAAGTGGAATTACTGGGTCAAAGGGAATGCATATTTTAAGCTCATAAATGTAACTATCCAAGTAGTTTCCAAAAGTGATGGATAAAACACACATTCTCACTAAACTACCAAATTTAATTAATTAGCTGTTTATATTAGACTCAGTTCTGTTTTTAAAAAGCAATTAAATGAAAAACATTTCACACAGTTGCTATTTATTGATAAATATCAGAGAAAATACTTCATTTATTGTTTTATATACTACCTAAATTGACAACTCACATTTGTGATAAACAGGTAACTTAGAATTTACAAGCAATCTAATTTTTGTTCTTTTTAATTATAATCACCAACTCACACTTCAACTTCCCTACCATCTTCAGTATTTTGGGCAGCAAATAATACATCTTAAGATAATAAGAAATAAATTTTCACTTACCACAAAATTGGATCATTAGCAAGCTCACTGAAGCGTTTACACACACAAGCTGCTCTACAAAGATCCTGTTCCAGCAAGTAAGAGAAGATTTTTAGAACCACTTCATCTGGCAGTTTCTCCTGAAGATACTGTTCAGCAGGTGCTGCTATAGAGAGATTAACAAATAAAACATAAACAACCTATTTATCGTGTCAGTAGTGACTTCCTCATTATTTAAAAAGCATAATTTTCATCCTGGCGGGTGTGGCTCAGTTGCTTGGAGCATGGTCCCATGCACTGAAGGGTCATGGGCTCGATTCCTGGTCAGGGCACATACGGGAGGTAGCTGATCACTGTCTCACTGTCTCTCTCTCTCTCTGTCCCTTCCTCTTCTTCTAAAACCAGTAAAAACATATCCTCAGGTGAGGATTAAAACTAAAATAAATAAATAAAGTAAATAAAAAGCATAATTTTCATTTTATCTAAAGAATAGCTTTTATTTTGTGAAGACAATCACTTTATAAACATTTTTCTTTCATAGATGACATATTTTGTTTCTTTTATCTTAAGTATTTGCTTTAGCTATTATACGCCATTTCAGCAACTGGTGAAAATAAATACATAAAAAGTATTATTTTTTGTTAATCCTCACCCGAGGATGTTTTTGTCCATTGATTTTTTATTTTTATTTTTGAGAGTGTGGAAGGGAGGGAGGGAGAAAGAGAGAAACATCAGTGTGAGAGAGAGACATTCACTGGCTGCCTCTGGCATGCACCCCAACTAGAGGTGGGGATCGAACCTGCAACATAGGTACGTGCCCTTGACTGGGAGTCAAACCCTCTACCCATAAGTGTGCAGGCTGATGCTCTAACCACTGAGCAACACCATCCAGGGCAAAAGGTAGTTTTATATAACAAAGTCAAAATGGGAGAGGTCCAAGTTGTCATGTTTATAATAATCACCTTTCCAATCCCAAATGTAATATTAAAGTACATTTAATTTTAATATTTTGGTATCAAACAAAATTAAAAAAATTATTTGAACCCATCCCTTAGTTTTCCTATAGGAAATACCTGCCAGATCTTGTGATTTTCCAGATACTCTTGCACGTTTTGCACGATGACCAAAGTTTTCTGTAGTTGAAGTTGAGGCACCCTTCAAAAACAAAACGAAAACTAATTAAGCAAATATTTTTACCATACATAATTCATTACTTCTAAAATGACATTCCCTTTTTTGTTTGTTTCCTAACAATTCTTTCATTACAAAAAGGAAAGCAAATTATATTTAATTTACCTCCATACTGCTCTTCGTAGGACACGCTGTTCTTTTCGGCAAAAGAGTTTTTCTGCGAAGTTGGTAAGGACTATTTTGTGCACCAGGACCTGATTCTTCTGCAACCATATCTGCAGGTACATCATCATCTGTTATAAACAAAAGCAATATGAAAAATGACATCCATTAAAAAAAATAGTAAGAGCTCTACGGATGCGGTAAACTTTTAAAAGCTTCCTAAAAAAATTTTTTTTTGGGAATACAACTTTTATATAAAATTCCAGCTAACTGGATGATAACCATCTGAAAGAAATGCTGGCTTTCTACTTTATTTCTTACTTCAAAATAAATTCCAAAATACACCACATACATAAATACAAAAAGGAAACAAAATCACTAGAAGAAAATAGAAAAAAATATTTTTCATAAAGCTGAAGTAGAGAAGTTCTTTCAAGGTTACGACAAAAAAACTTGGAAGGAAGGCATTAAAAAAAACAGGTGAGGAGGATGTTCACTTGATGAAGGGCTTGAGAGGGACTGAGTACTACATGGTTAGAGCCCAAGAGGGATGGGAAGGACAGCCTGGTATAAGGTATCACATACCAAGTAGGATGAAAAGAGCATCCACACAGAGTGTGGTCTGGCATAGGGCATTCAAGAGGGGAAAGACGGAAGTCTGCATGGAGGGCATCACATAGCAGAGGGGATGGTAAATCTGGAAGACTGGTAACATGCAACAGAGGAACTGATCAAATAATTAAACAGGAAAATGGAAGCTAGATACCTTCTGTTAGAGAAGAAAGTTAAAATATAAAAAGAGAGAAAACTAGCATAAACTCTATGTTGTTAGACTAGAATTCAATGTATCAACATAAAACTCATGATTTAATAGATATAGAAATTATAGACGTAAATGTTTGAATGTGCGTATGTATATATATATTCCATAGCTCTGTCCATTGACAGAGAGCCTAGAAGCAGTGACACTCCAATACCAACAAGCATGAGTAGCATTTGGAGTTTGGCTTCTGAATCTATAAAAGAAATAAAGGCTCCTTACAGAAATGGCTGATTCCAGGGTGGGGGAAATACAAAATGAGCCTGAAATATCTTGTGGTAGAAACAAGAAAGTATTAAAAGAATGATGAGGATATGTCAAAAGGACACAAGTCAGCCCGAATGGTCACCCACTCACGAAATTATGTTGGGAGCATCAAAATTCATGATAGTAAAAGACTTATAATCCAACGAATGAATAGCAACCCATAAATTTATAGTGCTATAAATAAATGAATAAATTGAAAGTTTAATAAGGAATGGGATGTTTGAAACACCCTCCTACCCCCCCACACAAACTTATTAAGTAGAAAGGGAAAAACAGTAACTCTATAGAAGAGATGCCAATCAGACAGTCCCTTAATCAAGTGATCAAAGTGAACATCATCATTAATAGGACAAATTAAAACAGGGTGCCACCCGATAGCATATAAGATCACAGCATCACATGTATAATATTCCTGACAAAGATGCATAACTTAAATCTAATCGCAAGGAAACATCAGACAAACCAAATCTGTTTTGAATCATCTTTAAAACTGCAATCAAACCATGAAAGTTAAGGAAAATCTGAGGAATTGTTCCAGACTGAAGAATACTGAAAAGATATGCCAACTAAATGGAATGTGTGGTTCTGAACTAGATCCTTTTGCTAAAAGGTTGCTATTAGGACCAATAGTGAAACTTAAATGGGGGTCTAAAGATTAGAAGACAGTAATGTGTGTCAATGATAACTTTCTGATTTTTATAGCTGTAGTATGTTTATTTAGAAGAATATCCTTGTTCATAGGAAATACAGACTAAAGGAATTAGGAGGTGAAAGGACAACAGACTGGCACATACTCTGGAAGGGATCAGGGAAAACAACTGTTCTGTACCACTAACTCTTCTTTGTTTAGACTGTATTAAAAAGAACTAATAATTTTGAGTAATATGTAAAACATTTAAAAATTCTGCTTGGAAAATAAATACCATAAACAGTCAAAAGAAGCAACACAATCAGGAAAAAAATTTGTAACACATATCACACAAAAGGGTAATAATTTCCTTGATTATATCTGAGTGTCTACAAATCAATAGGGAAAAGGCCAATAATTCAGTAGAAAACTGGGCCAAGGCAAGGACACGAACAGACAATTTAGAATTAAGAAACTAAAAATGGCCCGGCAGGTGTGGCTCAGTGGTTGAGCATCCACCCATGAACCAGGAGGTCACGGTTCAATTCCTGGTCAGGGCATATGCCCAGGTTTCGGGCTCTGTCCCCAGTAGGGGGCATGCACGAGCACAAGGTAGTCAATCAATGACTCTCATCGATGTTTTTCTCTCTCCCTCTTTCTGAAATCAATTAAAAAAAAAAAAAAAAGAAACTAGAAATGAAATGCTAACAGAAGCGACAATGAGATATTTTTCACATAGCAAATTACCAAAGATCAAAAGTCTAATCACATATTAGTATTACAAAAGGATAAAATAAAGGAAAAACAGTTCTTAATTGCTCTAAGAGCAATTTGGCAATAACTATTATTACTTAGCGATTCCACTTCTAGGAACTGATTCTGCAGCTATATTCACACATGTGGGCAAAGTAGTATGGATCAAGATTTTTACTGCATACTGTTCCTAGTACTAAAAGGTAAGAATCAAATGCTCATCAATAAGGGTCTATTAAATAAACTATGATCTAGCTATACAATAGAATATTATGTGGTCATTACAAAATATAAAGCAGTTCTATATAGACTGATAAGGAACTATCTTTAATATATAATACGTTTAAAAGCCACAATATACAGTGTTTTGTGTGTGCGTGTGAGATTTAAGGCTATACATACACATTCTTACATGTGTATATATTTAACTAAAATATAAACTCCATGATAGTAGGGAGCCACCTACTGGCCAAAGACAGCACAATGTGAGCTAGAGTAAGAATTAATGGAATGAACTAAAAGAGATATATTTAAAACCACGGGTTTATAATGATACTTAAAAAAAAAAAAAAAAAAA